ATCAATGGGAAAGAAGGTGTTGGGCTTCAGGGAAGTTTTCTCAGGGGTATGAACGATTCAAAACATTGCTAGAGAGTAAATTGGTAAGATCTTAGCTTAAACTTTTCGAACTGGAGTCACGGACGTAGGAATTAATACGCCACTGTCGTGATCATAGACAACTATCTCTCTCAACCCTGACCAGTAGGTTTCCACTCTGGCCCTGGAAGAGAAGAGATGCATTATGTTTAAGACTCGTCCTAATTCACAAATCGCCCATAGGTAGGTTTCCACTCCTATGTTTGTTTTGTTCTCCCAAACTAGATCTGATACCTGATGAACACTTTCGTGTCACCAAGCATCTGGATCATATTGTAGTTCATGACGCTACTCTCATGCAGTAAAAACGAATTCAGAAGAAAAAGTTCTAAGATTCGGCTCAAAAGCTCATGGAATCCTCATCGAACATATAAATCTCCATCGAGAATCCCTTAATCCCAACAATAAAACTACTCAGATATAATGAACGAAATTAAAGACATAATATTAAGATGTAGAATAGAAACCGAAATTGAAAAAGAAAGAACAAGGGTTCAAGAGAACAAATCTCTCTCTCCCTAAAAGCTAAAGCAAAAACAATAAAAGTATGAAGTAAATAATTCGGTTCTCTCTAAGGTTACACGATATAGGGTTCATAAGACATGTATTTATAGTGCTCAAGACCTCTCTGGACGTCACTTAGGGTTTCTCCAAATGTGGGCTTTAGAAATGGGCTTTTTGGGCTCGGAGGTTGATGGCCGCGGTCGGGAGTGCTCTGACCGCGGGGAATGGGTGGTTTGCCGTGGTCGGGATGCTCCTGACCGCGGGAAATTGCTTGTTGGCCGCGGGTGGAAGTGCTTGCCGGCTGGTTTACGGGACATCTTGCTCTTCGCGTATCTTTTGATTGAACCGTTGGATTGCCAAGCTGTAAAGTGCACTGGAAAGCTGATACTTCCATCTTTAAGATCTCCAAATTTGAGCTGGATCAGACGGTGAGAAGGCCTTCAATCAGGGGTGAACTTCTAACGGTTTGACTCTGACCTGAAATCTGGTTTTCTATCCATTTTGTTAAGCTTTTTTCTAAGTTACCTGAAAAAAGTCTTGGAACTACAAATACTAGAAAAACGTGATAAAAGTACTTAAAAGCAATTAAAAACATAGAAAAAGTATTTCAAAACGATCCATAAAAGTGGTCAAAATACGGTGTTATCATCGCTCGACACTACTGATGTGTTCGACACCACTGATGTGCTCGACACCACTGATGTTGTCGCTCAACACCACCGATGGTGTCGCTCGACACCGATGTCGTGAATAATGAAAAACATGATTTTGTCCAAGTTTTGAAGAATCTTTTGGGCCCAGAAGTCTCCAATATTTACAAGGAATGCCAACTCATGTTTTTAGTATTTTATTAGGGTTTTCAGCCACCTGTTTTGGCGACACCTTAGATTTTCTTTGTAGACCTTTTGATTTTTGTTCATCGATACTTGAGAGTTTTTGGGGGAGACAAGTCTGAGACTCGGTTTGCTTGAGGGAAGATTTTGAACCTCTGTTACTTAATCTATCTAATTCTTTCTGCAATCTATTTAAGCATGTTTGTTGTTTCAATTTTCATGTCTGAGTAGTTTGTTTGTTAGGTTTAGGGTTCTCATATAGGATCTCTTTGGATGATAGATAAATTGATTGGTAAGGGTTCATAATCTGATTAGTTCTTCACCATAGGTTATTCTTAAAGCTAATTCTGGACTGGCCAACTAGAACTTAGATATTAAAGTAGCTATCCGCAAAGAAATTTGGTTTAAATACTTTGTGAATATATCGAACCTGCACTTAATGCTTGTTTAGTCTTTAGAATTTGTAAAGAAATTTGGAATTATGAGATTTAGACTTAGATAATTCTCGCAACGAAAGTTTGTTAATTATAATTTCATGGTTAAACCTGAATCCTGGTTAATTGATTTATCTGCATTCTTTGATTTCCTGAGAAAAATCATGAATCTATTCTTTCCCATCGAGTTTACAACCGTTTTAAAATTGCTGCTTTTAATTTCATTGTGATTGCTTAGCTTAATTCAAATCTTAAACTAAGCAACAATCTAAGGTTAATACGACACCTTAACATAATGGCGACTAACACTCTACCGCGATCTAGGCCTTCAACATCCCGTTCATAAGGCACACAAAACATGCATGTGATTTAGGTTACCTTTTATATTTAGTTATTTTAGAAAGTTGTATGTTTGATTTTGGCTTCGAATGTTCTTGGCAACTGTATGATATAACCTTTTTTCAGTCTTTGTACGTATTCTCTCTCTTTTAATTTCAAATATAGAACACTTTTTTTTGTTTCTAATCATTTCTTGCTTTTTGTTTTCAAATGCTATTAGAATCTATTTTGTTTCGAATTCTATGATATGAGTTTTATAAAATTTATTAGGTAGCTAGATACCTTTAATGAGTTGGTAATTCATCCTCAGAATAATTTATTAGGTAATTAAATACCTACACTATGTTCGATATTTAGATTGCTTACAGCATTTGATTTCTGGAGCCTTGATTATACTAATCAAGTGGCGGATTCCATCGCAGTGTGCGTTACTTGTGACCAGAGGTATCAACCATATATTGCTCGTGGAGTCGTGGTGGTCCATCTTGCCTCTTGGCTTCATCAACTCATTCGTTCTAAAGCCATTGCTGCTTAATTCCCTGAAGTTTTATCTCAGGCATCTCGTTACATTCTCCATATTTGCCTTTTGCTTTTTTTTTTTGTTTCCAGTTTTAACGAGGGATTTATGCCTTTGATTTTCGTTGTAAAATGTTTACTAGCATCATTTAGTGTACTCTGGTTTATGCTTCTCTTATCAATGAAAGCGTTAACAAAAAAAAGAATTGGTAACATTTGAACAGAAATTTTGTGGTGCAATTTAAGAAGATGAACATTATTTGCAGAGTTAATTTTTTGAAGTTTGTGCAGAAAACAAGTACATTTATAGAAACATTGTTGGGTAATTACTGCATTGGACATTAACTCATTTTGCTGGGTAGTTAAGACATTACGTTTAAGTTATCTCAATATGATGGGAAAACGACGTATTTCCTCCTCCGAGGTATCATATAGTAATAGATCCACCCAAAGTTTCGACTTCAGCGTTAGTATCCCCAATTGAAACTTTAAAAATGTATTTCTCCCCAATTAAAAAGTTTGAAACCTATTTACCCACAATATAAAAGTTTAAAACTAAAAACTACCCAAACTCGGTTTACTATTTACCAAATAAATTTTAACCAGTTACAATTGAAACTAAACCACATTATAACCTAATTGAACCAAGTAAACCAAAACTAAACCGCATTATAACCCAATTCCCTAAAATTGTAAAATCTTAAAAATCCCTGATTTTTTTTTTATCTGATTTTCACGACTCCTCCTCACCGTCTTCTCCACATCGCTCAGGTTAATCAACACCTCAATAACATCAGATTGCTTTCTGCATCATCTCCTCTACAGTATCATTTGACTCGAAAATCTCTCTGTTTCTACTAATTTCTTTGTTGTTTTTTCCATTTGTTTGCTGCCCAACCCAGAGATTATAAATATAAGCTAAGAAGAGAAAAGAAGAAGAAATCAAAGATTAACAAGGGGATTGTGAGCTTATGAGACCAAGGGAGAGACCGTGAGAGGAGAAGTGGCGAGAATGAGGCATGAAGATGGGAAATAATGAATCACAAGAAACAGTTAAAATTCATGGGATCAATATTCGCTCATGTTTTGATTTGGGTAATGATGTCTTCTTAGCGGAACCCGGCGACGGTTATTGGAACCACGGTCACGTTTGCTTTGAAGAAACACATCATTCCAAGCTTCCAACCCATCACGCCGATTCCAGCTTTCATGGAAATTGACAACCAAAGGTCGTTTGGATTTTGGGAGAAGCTTACGTGAGGAGGAAAAGGATTTCAATGGGAATAAGATTGGGGTGAATAGTAAAGTGGATAATGCTGCTTTATGGAGAATTGCAAAGAAGATGGATTGTGAGAATTACAAAGGAGCATATGCTGTTTCTAAGAATCGCTACATACTCGGCGTTACCGCCGAAGTTACGAACAAGAGAGGTTTACAATTCAAGTTTTTCTCCTTTCTTCTTCACTTAATTACAATTTTTCGCCTTTGTAAGATTACCAATTGAGTTTTAAAATCAATTTGTTGATATCATTTCAAATACTCTTTAATTTATTTATCATCATTAGAATTCAACAACTGAGAACAGAGAAGAAGAGGAAGAATAATAATGGGTCGGGTCAGATTGGTTTAGGTATTGGATTTTTAATTTAGTTTTGTATCAGTTAAAGTGGTTTTGTATCAGATTAATTTCGTAAACCATTTAAACCAACGATTATGGATAAATAGGTTTCAAACTTTCCAATTGGGGATACGTTTTTAAAGTTTCAATTGAGGATATTAACGTTGAGGTCAAAACTTTGGGTGGATCTATTACTATATGATACTTTAAAGGGAGAAATACATCGTTTTCCCATTATAATTTATGGTGTTAATTTTTTTTCTTGTCATATGTGTTCTATGATTAGCCTACCTTACATGAATTGGTTTGGATTCATTAATTATTAACTAAGGCTGAATGTTCTATCGCTTAAAATATTATCATCCTACTTGCGTTAGTCGGTTTGGATTCACTAATCATTTTTTAAAGTTTATATAGTGCTCTAATGTTTAAAACATTATAGATAATTACGTTATTTTTTTGCTTTTTATTTTGTTCCTTATAACTATAGATATTATAAATCCTTTTATTATATTTTCATAAATTTAATTATCACATATCAAATCAAAAAGGGCAATTCTTTAAAATAGCCCCCAAAAACTAAAGTTTCTTTAATAGAGCCCTTATTTTGCAATCGGACGAATTTAGCATTCATTAAAAATCCACGATTCAAAGCAAATCCTTTCCTTCCATGATTTTCTGGTCGGCGACGAAGTACGCTATTATTCATCGATACGAAGGTCAGGCTAGTGGCATCTCCGATCTAGCTTGTTCTTCGAATTCGCACTACACTTGCTTCGCTTCCAATGATCGCACGCTTCAAATCTGGGACGCTCGAGCTCTGTACGATTGCCTCAATGTGCTTAGAGGCCACACCAATTTTGTCTTGTACATCAATTTCAATCCTCCGTCGAATCTGATTGTGTCCGGTTCGGTCGGCTAGACAATTCGGATCTGGAAGGTAAAAACAGACAAGCGCGTCCGCATGATTAAGCTCACCCTCAATCGGGATGGTTCGTTGATAGTTTTGGGAAGCAATGATGGTTCTTTCAAAATCTGGGATGCGAAAGACAGAACTTGCTTCAAGACTCCGATTGATGATAAATCTCATGATGTTTCCTTCACCAAATTCTCTCCGAATGAGAAATTCATCCTTGTTGCCACTCTTGATAGTACTCTCGTAAGTTGACAAATTCAATTTCACATTTTGTAATGTTAAATTTGGTTTTGAATGATTGCTTAGTTTATGAACACACGAAAAGTAAAGAATCTAACTCCTTGTTGGATTAATCTGTAATAAATTCTGAATATGAATTGAAGAATATAGAATTTTGGTTTGAAAGATCACTTAGGTTCTGAATTCACATGATTTATATTCAAAATGTTATGGTTTTGTCTTTAATGGGTTCTTGCATTAGTCTTCTATGTTTGATCTTGATCATGATTTTGAAGTTGTGATCGACAGTAGCAGGAAACAAACAAAAATTAACCATAGAACTTATGATATGCCGCTCTTCTCATGAACTTTTGATTGACAGTAGCTCTTCTTGTAGATATTTCGTTCTCTAAGAAAAGAAAAAAAAGTGGCATGAATGATTGAATCTTGATCTAGAGAGATTGTGCCAAGAGACCAGCTGAGGCGTTAGTTTTGATGGAATGACCTTTATATGGTTAAAATTTTAGGAAATCTTTATATACATTTATGAAGGTTTTCCTAAAAGTTCAGAAAGACATCCTAACTCTTTTAAAAATGTTAGAAATATTTTGATAAACATTAGTAAAGCTTGTAAACCTATATTGAGTGGAATTTCCTAATCATTAACAAGCATTCACAAACTCGTGTATCTTCTATGGCCTATGCATCACTTCCCTTGAACCTATTTGTGTTGGTTTTTTTTTTTTTTTTGGGGTCATCAGGTTTTATAGCTGAGAGCCTCTCGGAAGAAGAGATTGCTGGTTTAAGAGAAATGTTTCAGGCAATGTATATTGATAACAGCGGTGCTATTAAGTTTGTTGAACTCAAAACTAGGCTGAGGAAATATGGATCAACCTTGAAAGATACAGAGATCCATGATCTAATGGAAGCTGCAAAATCTAATCTCATTTGGCTACAAAACGAAAGTTAATTATTGTGTGTTTTCAGTGACGAGCTCTTGTATTGGCAGGCTGATGTGGGAAACAGTAGGACAATTGATTACAGTGAGTTCATTGCAGCAACGATCCATCTAAACAAACTGGAGCGGGAAGAACATCTTGTCGCTGCGTTTTAATATTTTGGCAGACGGAAGCGCTTCCTAAAACATTAGGAAAACTTTGTAAACCTTTTTAATATTAATGGTTTCTTTGAACTCTTAGGAAACATTCATATAATTCATAAATCTTTGAAAAAAACTTTCATAAATCCTTTTAGTAAGACTTTCCTATCATTTAGGAAAGCATTCCGAAAAGTTTAAAATGACTTCCTAAAACATGAGAAATGCTCTGCAAACCTATTAATGTTTCTAGAGGTTTTGAAACTCTTAGAAAACATATATAAACTCTTCATAAAAATTTGTAGTAAGAATTTCCTAACATTTAGAAAAGCATTCCTAAAAATTTATAAAAGCTTCCTAGTAAATTTCTGGGGTTTAAAAACATCTTCAGAAAACTCTTTGAGAAGCCCTTGAAAAAAACATTCTTCAAATTTTAGAAGGTCGTTTTCTTGTTTCGTGATTATTAAAGAAGACACTCTTAAATTTATATGAAATTTTTCCAAATATTTATAAATGCTACCTAAATTTAGAGTTTCGAAAGTCTTCTTACTTTTTAGAAATCACTTTTACAAATTTAAGAATGTCCTCTTGTCGCCGCCAATTTCTTCTCGTCGCTTCCAGACTCCGCTTGTAAATCTGTAACCACTCATTTCATAAGTATAACAGATTGGAAACTCTCCGTTGTTGAATCATCTCTTCCAATCCATGCAGATTTTGAATCACTTGTTTTTTCTAAACTGGTTTATGTTAAATGAATGCTATTTTGGTCCTCTCCCAAATGAAGGACTATATTAGAGAAGATTAAGTTTATTAGGACTATTCCATTCAATTTCTCAATCAAAAATGTATACTAAAATAAAATCAATATTACTAATGCAGAATAAATATTACATAACATAAAAAAATTCAAACCCCAACACTATTACAGTGAGGAATATTAGACGACAAAAAAAAAAGGAATAGTAAATAAACGGAAATAGGTTGTACTCAAATATTAACTGAAAAAAAATAATAGTGTTAGATAATCTGTCTACTAATAAAAAAAACTTAAAAAATTGATTAAATTTATAAAAATGAAAAATAAAGAAATGAAGTTGAAAATAAAAGTTAATAAAAATCTATTAATTTTTTTTTGAAAACTTTTACCAGCCAGAAAAAAAAATTAAGTTCATAAGATATGTTAACTATAAATTTAAATATAATCAAAAATTTTAACATGTACATATAAATCTTAGTTACTAATTAGTTTTGGCGTTTTTTGAAGTCCAGAGTAATAAGAGAGATCCGTGTCTATGATGTGTCTAACTACTTTATCGTAAAAAAAGTTATATTAACAAACATGCAAACATTTCCTGTTCAATGAAATAAATGATATTGATTTAGAATAGTCAGTGATATAAATATTTGGCCCCAAAAAAAATTAATAAATAGGTCCAAAATATATGTTTATGGAAAAACGAAATTTGTATTACATATATATGTATTAACATTATCTTTTAATCTTAATGTAACTATTAATACCATACCTAATATTAAGTATTGTTAATTTTCTTCATAAGGTAAGAAATACACCAGTCAATCTTTTCTCTCAAAAATATAGAAAGTACAATTTTGCTATATGTAAAAAGATAAAAGAAACAAATTAAATGTATCATAGAATTATTTTGCTTAAATCAATAATAAATTATAAGTATATATAGTCAAAAAATCTATGAGTTTTTCATGGTAATCTGTATATAAATCATTACTCACTGAAAATTATTGTGAAAAACTCTAATGCTCTTTCATGAAAAGGATGGAATCCTCTCAAAAGAAGACAAAAATCACTGAAACTTTGCCTGACGACCTTGTGGACCACATCATGTCGGTATGTCTCCCTATTCAATATGTTTTACGAAATCGTTCTGTGTCCAAGAAGTTTAAAGACACAGAGATCCGGTCCCGCGACCTTGATTTCAGCAAAATATACTCTGTAAGATGCGGTCAACAAAAGGCTGTACGCATCATTGAAAGCGTTTTTAATGATTACAAAGGCTCGGAGATTAACCGATTTGTGCTACTTCTCAATCACATCGGAGTGGAAGATAAGATACTTTCATGGATCAATACATGTCTTGGTAAAAACATTCAAGAACTTGTGTTGGATTTCTCTAAATCAAAAAAAGTTGCCAACATCCCGGTCGATTTCTCGGCCATCGAGACGCTAACAGTTTTGAAGCTAGGATGGTGTAGCTTCAAAATACCAGATAATTCTCTAAAGGGTTTGAAGTTATTGAAGACACTTGCGTTAACTAAGATTAATGAACTGAATAAAGACATGATAGATGCAATATTCAGCAACTGCATCCACCTTGAGACCCTTGAGCTTATCAACTGTCTAATGTATGGGATATTGAGCATCAACGCCCAAAATCATAAGAAGTTTAAGTCGCTAGTTGTGTCTACTATGCCAAATCTTTTTGAAATTATTGTGGATGCACCTACTCTCGAATGCTACAAGTATGATGGATATTGCAATAAGATGGTTTACTTTTCAAGAGTGCACGCACTTAAAGAGGCAAAACTCCATTATAATCGAAGTTTTTCTTGGCGTTATTCCGATCCATCTGACATGCTGCTTGCTAATATGAGGGCTTATATAAGAGTTCGTGTCCTCGCAACGACCAACATCTTTCTTGAGGTAAGTCTTATTTTTTTTATTGTAATTTAGTTTTTTTTTTTAAAAAAATTCATGAAATAGTTTTTTTTTTTTGCAAGTTATTTTATAATAGCTGAGTAGAGTTTATGATATCATATGCACGAGTTGAGATCATAAAAAATCTTTATTTAGACATCTTTTAAGGAAGTGATCGCTATTATGGATATGTGCTTTTCTATTTTCTGCAAACTTTTATATGAAGAAGTTGTTTAAATAATCATATGGAACACTCAAGCAATTAATTCTCCTTTTTAATAACATCTAGAATTTTGTTCTGGTTTCTATAAAATGAAGAGAAAAGATAGAGAGAGAGGGAAATTTGAATTACCACAGGATTACAGAGTTATTATTTTGAATACCGTTTTCCATTAATAAAGAAGATCGAATGGGAAATTGTATCACTTAGGTCTTTGGTGAATGATTTATCTTAGACGTTAACAAATAAAATAGATCGAATGGGAAATTGTATCACTTAGGTCTTAGGTGAATGAGACATGACTTAAAATCTCATTTAGTTCGTATGCTATGGTCCTTCTTGAGCAAATGAATCTTATTATTTTCATCCCACCAAAAAGGTTATATATGCATTTGACTTAATAAGTATGATACAATTTTTTATTGGGATTAAAAGAAAAAACTTTCATTGACTAATTAGGATTAGGAATCAAATTTTAAGGTTGATAAACACGGGTCTAAAGGTTTGTATTATATATTCATTCCAACAATAATAAAGAAACCCCAAAATTAGGTCTCTGCTTCAATTTGTTTTAAATTCTCTCTTGTTTTCAACTTTATTCTAGTTAGATTCGACCTAATTCTCAACACCACTACTAAAACCTTTTTGCCTTCTATATAATATATTTGGCTGACCAAACCATTTAATCTGTTTTGTAATCATTCGTTAATGAGGTTGCAAATTTGAAAACTTTTTGACCCAACAAGAATTTTTGAAAGACCTATATATATATAAGACCTTATACCAACCTCATTAGACATGCCTTGAATTATTTTTTATATTCATTTTTGTCTTAGTGGGTATCTAGAAATCAATGATAGACAACTTTCAGAATTAACTTAGTTGTAGAATCCAACAAAAATTACAAAAAGTACTTGATCTATCATCTGCAGAAAGACGAGAATAATCTCTATATATAAAAGATACAGTAAGATCTGACACTGAAAACAAATAAAATCTGACGAAAATCTTATTCTTCTAAATATCGTTGCTCATTTTTTTTGCATGCATCAGTTTTTAAAGCTTAAGTTGTTAGATTCTAGAGTATCATTTTCTCAACTCTTTAACATTTTAATGTTCATGATCATAGAGAGTGTTCATCAGTCATCACACATAGACTGCAGCTTTCACATGTTAATTTCTCCTGTTAAAATTTTTTCACTCGTGCTTTGATGTTTTGATGTTTCCTTTCACATGTATATGTCTAGGCTTTGACGTGTAGATACAATGGAGGAGCAATTAGAAGACAGATTTTCTGCTTTTGGAGCTTACAAGAATTTCAGATTTCTTTTAAAGCTCCAACAGTTTGCAATCTTTTTGACATTGCTCAATTCCTCCAACAGTGCCCTAACCTCAAAAAGGTTTTGATCGATGTATGTCTCTCTCTCTCTCTCTCTCTCTCTCTCTCTCTCTCTCTCTCTCTCTCTCTCTCTCTCTCTCTCTCTCTCTCTCAATATATATACTAATCTACTAATGATTTGCTATGTGCAGATAAATGATTACACATTTGAACCTGGAGTTTTTTGGGAGGTTCATCATCAGCAACATATTCGGATTCACAACTACTGTTTGAACAGTATCAAGTTTGTCGAGATCATGGGCTATAAAAATCACTCGCATGAGCTTGATATAATGGAGTTCTTTGTCCGGTACGCAAAATCTCTAGAGAAGTTAACGTTGACGAAGCCTAGAAACCCAAAGATCAAGCTATTCGAACCTGATAATGCAAGGATCAATTACATAAAAAGCATGTCTCAAAAGAATGATCTCATTGAATTTATCTAAGGTTATAAGTTCAGGTTGTGCCCAAGCATGCCAGATAATAATAGCTCTCTTGATGTGTCTGAAACATCATCAAGAGTAGTGAAACAATCATATTTAATGTTTTCTTCTTTCTAGTTTTTTTCTAGAATTGAACTCTGTTTTCGTTGTTTTTTCTTTATCTCAGATTTGAACTTATGTGAGATCAATTAAGTCATTTTAGACTATATATATATATTTTCATGCTCATAAATAGTTTAAGATCATTGCTATTTGGTTATTGTTTATGATCTTGAGAATATATCTAAATAATATTTTTCAACTTAGTGCAACGAG